CACACGCTCACGCACACGCTCACGCACACGCTCACGCACACGCTCACGCACACTCACACGCACACAAACACGCACGCGCATACGAACACGAACTCGTATACGCACTCGCACACACAGCTTTCTAGGACTATTACTTAATGTTGCTTAGTTTATAATCTCACTGAAAAGCATATACAAGTTTTATTTCATTAAAAGGTTATTGTTTGAACTTTATATAATATTCCATGTTTTATACGTGGTAGAGCCACGCTCCAGCTATATTATTGTAGTAGCAGGAATGGGGCTTGAATGGGGAAATAGTAATTTAATACTGCTGTGTTTCGCATGGTAAGTGTAGAGAACTGGAGACCCTTTTTTACTGAAAACAAGTCATTTCCTTCTCGTCTTTAGGTTCAGGCAACGAACGGATATGCGTTTTGATTTTGAACGAGGGATATATGTAAATGTCTGAATGTACACCCACCAGATAAAGAAGCTTTCACAAAAAAAAAAACTACAGTTGACAAGCCTCACAAGCGGAGCAGCTATGGCCAAAATTTTCTTTTGGCCAAACACTCAAAGGATTTACTCAATTTTAAGATGTCGTTGCCTCGTGGTGTCACAGTCACTTTGACGTAAAGTGATAGAGACAGCACGAGATTTGATGGCATCTTAAAATTAAGCAGCGCAGCGCTTACCTATATGGGCATTTATGAGGTAATATATGGGAGGCCTAAATTTTACAGTGGACTTTCATAAGCCATAATGATTGAATAAATAAATACTTTATAGTCTAAAATAAGATATATAAAGGGGCATCAGAATATAGTCGTATTGATCGTAAGCTGATGACTTTACACTACAACGACGAGTTTCAAAGTTACGCAATGGCATAAATGCACAGCGAATTTGCTGAATTACTTATAATAAAATATTCTCTTTATTGGGAAGCAATTCAGCAATTCTTCTCAATTTCTCAATAAAATTTTATTAACTCCACCGTTATTGGACGGATATTTAATTTTACCATCATTCCCGTAGCCAACCCATAAATTATTATAGATAATTACGCCTCTAACTCGCGATGTTACTGGCTCATCAGATACATAACATGTTCTTTATTAATTATTACTCAAAACTTTACAATAAATCTTTTTAATTGGTACTCAGCATCAAAATTAAATAATACAACATGTTCAATAGTTAAGAATAATTTATTTTTCTTAAAAAACTAGAACGCTGTTAACAGTACATAATATTCCCGGTTACCACTTCCAGTAGACATTAAATACATGTGTTAGAAATGGTTCACCACAGTGGTAAAATTTTTGCTTTAAGATCCGCAGCTGATTAGAATCCACAAAACAACATGTTAACTGTTGTAGATTTTTTTTAAAGAATATCAGTAATCCAATAGATCGTCCTAAATTTGATTTAAAAAAAGTAATTGAATCGAAAATAATAATAGATGGCCACTTAAAAATGCATCCCGTATTCTATTCTCGACGCCGGTAAAGTACTTCTGAATGACTTTACAAAATTATGTAATTTTATGTTTTCTGGTAATGTCAATCCTAATTTCGTACCCTTTTTATATGTGGCAAGATTGTGTGTGTTTAAAAAAAAGATAACGGTATCGTCCTAGTGCCGTTGGTTCCACATTTCGACGCTTAACTTCAAAATTAGTTTGCAGGCATATAACCTCTAACCTCTAACCTTAAGAAAAATTCAGTGGCTGTGAGGTGGTGGTACATGCATTGCGTACTTCTTCAACAAATTCTAAAGCATATGTTATTGTGAAGATTGACTTTAGAAATGCTTTTAACTCTATCAAAAGGGTAACCCTGCTGAAAGAAGTGACTAACAACTCCCCGAAATTTGTCATTACGTTTGCAATGTTACAGTCAAAATTCGAACTTGTTTTATGAAAACCATATTATTGATTCTACTGTCGGTGTTCGACAGGGTAACTCTGACTGACGTCTAGCTCTTTTTTAGTTTGGGAATTCAACCTATTATTTCAAATATGAAATCCAAGCTGAATGTCTTGTACCTGGACGACGGTACACTGGGCGGTAAAGCAAATGACGTCCTAAGTTATCTTACTCATATATTTATAATTTTTCGTATTATTAGTCTTGAACCAAATAGCATTAAATGTGAAATACTTATTTCCAATAATTTATATAGTTCTAACAGAGATACTTTAATTCTAAATTTCAATCATATTTCTCCAGGAATAAAAACTGTCCATGCGAAATCTCTATACCTGCTATGTGCTCCATTGTTTTTCGATAGTATTAAACCTGTTTTAAAAACCAACTTTAATCAATTTTTAAATCACGTTAATAAATTGCATACTTAAGCCCCCACATTTCTCTTACTATTTTAAAATATTATCTTCTTGTATCTAAATTTACATACTTACTTCGCTCGATTCTAGTCTGGAAACGTTCGGATATTTTAAAATATATTGATAATAATGCTGAAATAGCTTTAGAAAAAATTCTAAATTTGACTTTAAATACAACAGCCTGCAATCAAGCAACTTTACCTATAAAATTTGGTAGTAGTTACGTAAGAAATATTTCCAGCGTAGCATTGCCTGCTTTCCTTGCTTCCGTGCATAGTGTCAATAACTTATGTCACATAATTTTAAAAAATAAAGTAGACCTGCGCTTATTATAGTAATATTCCGTTGGTACGAGCAGCTGAATTAAGTAAGTGGCACAAATATGAGCCTTTGAGAAATTACTAAATATTTGTGCCATTTTCTGTAGAGACTATCGGTTCGTGGGGTCCATCTGCCGTTTTTGGTACGATACCACGGGGTAAGACTGTATGACAATTTAAATTTTTGGTTTTAGTTTTTCTTTACTATAGTTTTTTTGCAATATTGTGTTGTGCGTGTTTAAGTTAGGTTTAATTTTATAATGTGTTTTAACGATGCAAGTATTTAAAAATTAAAAGCGAAATTTAAATTTTAAAATACCAGTACGCTATTAATACAAGATATTCTAGGTAACCAATAAATGCATGCATTAAAAGTGGTTTACAACATTTTTTTCTGCCATTAGGCCTACGGCCACACTGATAAAAGAATTTGATTATTTATATTAAATTGAATTAATAAGGTGCTTTATTGCAATTTATACCTAACATTCAAAATTAAATATTTCTAACAGAATATCAGAGTTAAAAAGCAGTTTAATGCTGGTATGGTGAGTGTATAGAACCGTAGACCCTTTTTACTGGAAACGAGGCATTTCACCTTAGTCTTCAGAGGTAGTAACCAATTTCGATATTCTTAATCTAGGAGAGATGTAGACCATCAGGTGGACTGTGTGCTCGTTTGGTAACTTTCTTCTACAAAAATGTTACAGGTGCTCCTAAGATCTGATGGTGAATATCTGGGTGCTTGTGAGGATACCTAGCAAAAGCGAATTGATTTATTTGTGTTCACAATTGCAATAGAATGTATTGGTATTAATTTAGAAAAGAAGGAATATACAACCGTTGATTGCATGCAATAAATATTTTTTCTAACCTCTGTGTTATGTAAGAACGATTAAAGTTCTAAAATAATATAGAAGATTAAATTTTTAGTGCTTTGGTATTATGTACCTGTATAAATAAGCCGTGGTAGCTCAGGGGACCCATATCACCAAGTGAGTGTTTTTTTTTATAGAATAAGGGTGACAAACATGCGTACAGTCCAACTGATGATAAGTGGATGCTGTGGTCCATAGACATCTAAATTAATCTCGACTAAGAATCAAAACGCAGATGCGTTGTCACCCCTGAGGACTAAGATGGAATGCCTCGTTTCCAATAAAAAAGGGTCTCCGGATCTCAACACTCACCATACGAAACACAACGGTATTAAGCTGCTATTTTACGCTGGTATTCTGTGAGAGCATGGTCCTTCCCCGGTCGAGTCGACCCATTCGTGCTACAAACATAATATAGCTCCAGCGTGGCTCTACCACGTATAAATATTGTTGGAAATCTAGAACAGGCGATGAGCACTAGCGTCTGCCCTATAACAACTAATAAGAATGAGGAAAAATTGCTGCTATATAATAGTAATAGTTTTATTTTGTTGTTGTTATTAGAACGCTTCTGGCACTGACCTTACCCTGGTGTGAATGGTGCAGTTATACGCGATATGAGGCAATCTATGAAGAAGGTCTAGATATGTCAGCAGTAGACTTTTGGTGGGATGTAATGAATGAATTATTTAAAGCTAAGTGCTGGTTTACCACAATCTCGGCGTTGAATGAAAATATTGCGTGGGATCCTGCATGTATGAGGGATTAAATATTTCGAGGACATGTGGAGTCTGCCAGTACGCATTGGTGCAGCACGGTGAACTAATTTGTCCATAACCTGTTCAGAAAAGCCTATGAATAATGTATGATAGATATAAGCAGTAATTTTTTTTATATTAACTACAACCTAAGTTCGTGAATCGGTTTCTAAAATATAACTTCATAAATACTTATAAATAGGAGTCAAACTACCATCGTCTTCTTTTTCAACTTAACAGCCTTTATTAAACCACAACTGTACTGGATATAGTACACTTTTGGTATATTATAAATATACATCAATGTGGACTGAGTACCTTTAAATGTTTTCTCATATTCAACACGTAGGGGCGCTGAGTGGTCATGGTGTTTTCCGTGGTCTATCTGCGGAATTAGAACTGGGCTGTTTTACACACTTTTTATCGTACAAGCACTGACTAAAACCCTATGATATTCCACTTTTGACGCATATCAGCACAGAGAGCACGCTTTCACACAAATTTAAATCTCCTATAGCGCCCGCCGTCTTACTTCTCAAAATTTAATAAATTATTTTTGAATAGATTGGTGTATAACCTAGTAAATAAAGTACATAATACATTGAAAGTATACTGTATAAAATTAATTATTAAATAAAATAACAATAAAAATGCACTGTTTCTGCACTGAGTGATTCTGCACTAACATATTTTTCTCTTCCACGCCATCTAGCTACGACTGGAGGCAATTGCTGCTCATCAACGAACCCGAAGCACAAGTACACGTCGCCGGCAAGTCCACTTGTCTTCTCATGATGAAAACTTTTGCTAACTATCTCAAGAAGGAAGATATAATTTATACGCCGTGGGATACCACATCCGACGGGGGTCTTAACTATACTGAAAATTTGAAGTTTTATCTGGGCTACAAGTATACAAGTAAGTTTAAGTTTCAGAATGAGTTAAAATAATTAATCCTTAGCGGCGCTACATTAAAAGGTAGGTTAAATATACTTGTAGTTATACTTATACTAAATATTTTATTACAACAACTATTTATATTCATGTCTTTATAGAGATGTCTAAACTATCTTGAATTTCAAATTGTGGGTTTTTGTCTAAGGACTTTATTTCGTGCTGAGTATTTAAATATTGCTCATAGATGGCGTATTACGATATAGGGCAAATCCTATCTATTTACAGCCATACATAATAAAGATGTCTTAAGTCAAAATTTAAAACTTGTGATTTTAAATATAAATATTCAAAGCCATTTTCAACAGCTAATTGTAGATTAGAATTATTGTATTTTTATTTATTTCTGTTTAAATATATGGCCACAAGATGGCGGTGTTTACATTAATGAATTTAAACTTTGTCATTGCCATAGCTACTGCCTTTTCCCGACTGTTACAGTAGATGTCACTACGTACTAGTTGTTCCTAAATTACGATATTTTATATCTGCAGATTTGGTTGGGCCCGTGCGGTTATTCTTTACGAAACACCCGGGTACAAGTTATTTGTAGGTGCTAGTGGTGGTTATCTAATGGCAAGTTCGATTCATCAGTACATGTTTTTTGAAGGAATGAATGTATATGGAAGAGAAATACAACTTCATCAACCTTACAAAGAATTACTACTTGAAAATGTCGGTAATAATTACGCCAGTGAGTTTCGGTTTTCTTTACATTAACCTAAAATATTGATAATATCACTGCAGCTGACGCTAATTAAAAATATAGAGTTAGGGTTGCCAATTTTTTAAATATATTTGCTGAAGCGGATTATTTAAAAAAAAAAAAATAAAGAAATAGCACATCTTAGGTAAATTTAAAATAACTCACAAAAGTGTTTTATAATTTGCTAAAAATTGTAAAATTATTTAATTGTTAAAACTTAAGAGTAAAATTTTATCACAATATGCTTTCGAATTTACGATTTTATGTTCAAAACAATATTACAACACTATGAAATAAATCAATTAAAAACCCTTTGGCAACCCTACAAATAATCTCATATACGGCGTTTTATAGCCCATATGCATCTATCACGCAATTTATGCACGTTTTGGTTTAATGCCCAGCACGAGCACCATTTGGATCTTTAACGGAGAGTTCCCAGATTTCTGAATTCAAGTTTTCTGATTCAATGCCTGCAGCCAAATCTAGTGTTTGTAGTTTGACCCTGCTGGACTTCAGTAAGGATACTTTGACTTAAGTTACTTCACGTTAGGTTGCCTCTATGGCGATCGCTTCTGTTAGTGATAAGCCTGAGCTGATTATGAACACCACGGTGTTCGTTTTAACATAAAACATAAACACTCACGCCTGTCACTCAGAGGGGTAGGCAGAGACTACGGACTTTCATTTGGCACGATCCTGACACACCTCTCTCGCCTCCTTCACATCCATACACCTACGCATACATGCTCGTCGGTTAAGGGTACTCCTAATTTGGCCCGTTTTCAATAAATCGCCAATTTGGTCGATAAATTTTCGCCTAGTACGTCCTTTTCCGACTCTGCCATTCACTTCTGCAACATAAATTTTCTTTGTCATTCTTTCCTTATTCATTCTTTCCACATGACCAAACCACCGAAGCATTCCTTTCTTAATTCTGGTCACAACATCATCTTGCAAACCACACTCTTCTCTTATTACACAATTTCTTACCCTGTCATTCAGATTCAGCCCTAACACACTCCTTAACGACCGCATTTCTACTACGTTGATTCTACTCTCGTGCTTCTTCTGTCACACCCAACTTTCACTACCATACGTTAAATTAGGGACCTACACAGCATTGTGAATTGCCATACGTGCCTTTTTGACACATTTTGACTCTTCACAATAGAATTGTTCGTTTTAACTGGCGATTTAAGAATATTAACTACCTTATATCGTCCCGTGGATACATTTTATTTTTATAATATTGGAATCTGTCGTGTATTGCCGATATAAGTAAGTATATTCACTACCCCATATCATTCCGTGGGTATCACAAGAGATGACAGGTGGGAACCTGAATCGTTAGGTAGGAGCAGTCTATTTCAGATAGCAGTTCAAAATAAAATTAAACTGTGGTTGCCAACGCACCCGGCAAGTGTGCCAACTATGGCAAATGAGGCAATCTATGGTGGAGGCCATAGAATACTATAATACATATATAATAGAACGGGGGAGTGGGCGGAGCCCGTGTAGCTACTAACATGTCACTAACATGTCATTTCACACCTAATTTTCGTATCAAGCGTAGCTGCATGCAAATTATTTAAAAAAAGGCAAATTATACAATGATTACGTGTAGAAATGGACAGCGGAAAGTAGAAAGAAAGCGGAAAATAGAAGCGATGAAACAGCGGGAAATGGAATTTAAATAAAGGAACCATATCTTACAACCAGTAAGTCAAAACTATTTAAAATAGAAACAAAAATAAAGAAATATTGATGTGTCAAAAACATTAATCAAAAGTTTATAATGTGTAAGTTCGCTCAATCTGTCAATACAGCGAATCGGGTTTGTAGTAGTGATAATACGGCGTAATTGCTTGTGTGTGTGTGTGCTCTCGGCGACACCGATCCTCGTACAAAATAAGGTTGATAGCCATTCTATTGTGTATTCTATGGTGGAAGCATATTACATATGTCATCGACAACTGTGATCAACTTCTGCCAAAAGGTCACAACTGCGTTTGCATTATTTTGTTATTATACCTATTTCTCTAAATACCTAATATGGAATATTCTACGCACATCATATACTACGTATATGGATTTTGTGTTCGTGACAGGTGAAGAGCGCCTTAAGCACGTAAAATAATTTAAGCTTGAACCTAGTTAAGGTCAAAGAACGGCGGGTGCTAACGTCTTCTAATTAACGTTTCATTTTCAGCCTTTTATGATAACATTGAACTTTCTCGTAAGACCAGATAAGCTTTATTTTTTAATTTATAACGAACAAAACCATCAGCATATTAATACAAATTTCCTATAATATGATACTCTAACGTAGTTTTATTATTGGGAAATTCTACCAAAAATTAACATTTTTGGTAGAATAATAATATAGAATTATTACAATAATATAGAATTATTTTTAAAATGTATAGCTTGTACATTTAACACGATATATTCAAAAAAATATGAATGTAGTCAAAGTAATCAACGAAATAGCACTCTATAAATATTTTTGACTAGTAAAACCAGACATTAAACGTCTTGCCTCTGCATAGCATTTTTCTCGGCCACCAGTGGTGATTTGCAACAAAGTGGATAGCTTAAAAACATTCTCTATGAAAAAATTACTTTTTACTTTTTATGATTGTAGTGTTTGTACATATATAATACAGTAAATATTTTGTTCTATTTACTAATAATTTACCATACACTAATACACAAACATATAAATATATATATATATATATATATATATATATATATATATATATATATATACCTACAATTCACTGTCTCGAGCGCACCGCGTCAGTTATGGCTTATGCTCAGTTACACAGATTACTGAATATATATTATATACTAGAGAGTTAGTTAGACGAGAGCCTCGGATGAGAGTGGACGTGTTTTACTCAAGTGCGTGCCGAGCCTGCGTGTTACGCTACACCGGTATGAGAAGATAGCAGATCATACAATGATGATAGATCAAACGGTGTCGTAATCTATAAATCTCAAACAGATATACTAACATCCATTTTTACATAATATACGATAATATGATCATGGGGTCTCAAATGTTGAGTCTGGTCTAAATATGTTTTTAGGTTTTTCTTACAAGAAATTCTTAATAACCACCGTAGTCAGAAATTTGGCATCTTTTCACCGACGTACCTTGGAAAGTCTGTAAATATATTCGGTCTAAACATTATGATAATTACTATACATTTATTATCACATATAAAGTCACAAAATTATATTATTATAAATATAAATATAATTTATAAGAATAACATTATTATTTCGGCTATTATCCACCGCGGCGAGGATACCTAAGCCATCGGTGACATTAGACAGCCATACTAAGGCTGCTTTTTAAATTAATCCTTTCAGCCATTTGCCCAAACCTAACTTAAACAGATACATCCATATTTTTACTGATAAGCTCATTGACTAATACAACTATTGGTACAATAATAGTAGAATCCACGTCCCACTCTCTGCTTTCACGAGATTCTTGTCATGAGGAGGAGTCAAAGGAGGAGTCAAAGGATTTAATCCACAAAAACTAGTTTTGATGTTTAAGAATTGGATTTGTACTCAATGATAGAGACTTTTGCTTTAGTTTATAAGTAATTTAGCTTTTCACAGCTTTTGCTATAGTTATTTTTATTACGACCATCTTTTTTTATAAGAGAGGCCCCCTCTCCAACCAAACGAGCATACGGCTCACCTGATGGTAAGTGATTACCGCCGCCCATGAGCAACTGCATCACCAGGGGAATTGCAGATGCGTTGCCGGCCTTTTAAAAAGGAGTAGGCTCTTTTCTTGAAGGTAATTCTTTTAAGTAATAAATAAAATACTGCCTATACGTATTTAACGTGTTCAGAAATCTGTCCATAATTTTTTATAGAAGTGTTATTAACAACGGTTCCTTACCTAAAAGAGGAACTCAGAATAAGACTATGTGAGTCTCTGGTAAATTCATTTCTTTCTTTACCTTCTATTTTGTACAGAGAATTCAATATAAAGTTTTGTTTCACTATTCCTCCTCGTTCTCATGTAAATCTCATTTCTTTGTGATCATCATCTCTTTGTGAATAATGCAAAAAAAATGTAATTTCAGTGAGGAGACATATTTACACTTGGCCACATTAATATTTAAATTAATAAGATCTCAGTATCCAAAATATATTTTTAACAAATTGAATTGGACTTACAGTCGTAGTAATTCTAAAACACGTCACCTTATTTGATTTAATTATCTAAACATAAATCTGCAGCATTTCTAGGTAGTTCTAGATTTGCAACGTCTAAATGCTGGAGAGACCCGCCATCACCATTGAGGAACCTGAAAGAAGAAGGCATATGAAATTGTACTTGATAAAAGTACAAAATATAATTATTTAGAAATAATTGTATTTACAAAGTCTCGTACAATTTTTATGCATTTGCATAAATAGCTATCAGATTAATTTTTACTTGGTGTCTGTTTCAAAATTAGGGCTAACTTAATATCATTAACAGTTCTATTAAAATATTTTTTTAAATATAAAGGGTCTGTGTCTATGTTTAGGCTAATATAACTCTTATTCTTAATAACTTATTAACTTCCCGCTATGAAAACCAACGATTTTCCAAAATTGGTATTGGTTGGAAGTTTTTGCAAACTTAGATACTATGGTTCATTGGTGCCGGCAGATATATATATATATATATATATATATATATATATATATATCCCTGCTTAGTTGTGCTAGATAGGAAATAGTGCAAAATAGGAAAATCTTACACATTGGCGCTTGTAGAACTCGTACCTCACACCTTTGGCAATGCTCCCAATCGCCGATCCGAGTGTTTTACTTCTGGTATTATTTTTTCACCCCGGTTTTTGAAAATCGAGTTCTCATCAGATTGAATTTATGGATGATAATAGCCTCTGGAAAGGGTAATCGCTGCCAAGCTATTTCAAATCTGTTGTGTTGTTAATTGTAACATACATGATGGTTAGCTCTTTCTTAACATCCCGTTAAGAAAATTGAAAATTTTCAAAATAGGGAAGTTATTGGTTTCACCCCGATTTTCGAAAATCGAGTTTTCATCAGATCTCGACGTTTTGAGATCCCGGGAAGCTAGTCTGACTAATTTCACGTGTGGGTCCGTACGGATGAATGTATGTATGTGTTTGTGTAAGTATGTAAACATTTAATAACTTTAGAAGGTCTTGATCGATTGAGATGCGGTTTGCGGCGTTTTAAAGATCTCAATGTGGAATAAATTTAGTGATAATATGAACTGATTCGGACAAGTATATTTTGAAAAATTTCAAAAATGAAAATTTTGAATAACTGTTTTTTGGAATAACTTTTGAATGACTTTACCGATCGATTTCAAGAACTAATCAGCTCTTAACCTCAAAAACCGGCCAAGAGCGAGTCGGGCCACGTTCAGTGTAGGGTTCCGTAGTTTTCAGTCCATCACAATAAGTGTTCCCACTTATGAGTTTAAAGGTGGGTATCCATTATGTTCGCGCTCCAGCAGCGCTC